CTCTCTCTCTCTCTCTCTCTCTCAAGCATCTTTTCTACCAAAGTTTCATTGAAAAGGTGTATACTTGATGCCTGGTTTAAGTTTTCGAGAAATACGTCTTTCATAACTTTATGCGAACTCCGCTTGAAATCTACGGGCGATGCCTTCGGATACGCGAAAATAGATCCCAGGCTGGCAGACCACCAGCGCGAAAATAATTCGCGATGCCGACGGCTAACGACGAGAATTACCTCTATCGGTGCTCCCCGATTACCGTAGCCTCGCGGGTGTGCATACACAGCGTAATTTCATTGAGGTATGTAAGATAGCGAGGCGTACCGCTGGCCAAACTGTATGTAATACGCGCGACAAGCTGAGCCGTCCAATATTAGCTTAAATCCCCGGCTAAATCTAAGTCAAATAGAAGAGCGTCCGAAACTGCAAACCCGAAATGTCCCATACCGGATTACGATGTGCTCTGTAAACATTTACAGGTTCTTGCGCGCGGACCGCGCGCAAGAAACGATGCGGTAGCCGATAAACCGCCGGTTTTCCACGAAGAAAGGTGTCCCGGAATAATCAGGCTGGGAGTCGTTGCGCTATTCACGTACGCACTTGTACGAAAAAATAGATTTAAATCGATGTCATTAAACTGATCGTCGATTTATTAGGGATATGTAGTTTTGGCCTTGGCTAGCTAGGTTGCCTGTTAAAAAGTAATAGCATGTGGCGGAATGGGCAGAAATAAAACCTATTGACTATATATATATATGTGTGTGTGTGTGTGTGTGTGTGTGTGTGTGTGTGTGTGTGTGTGTGTGTGTGTGTGTGTGTGTTATATATATATATATATATATATAAATGCAGAAAGTAATTATCAGGCATTAATGTAAAAAGGCTCTCTTCCTAGTAAAATCATCGATTTTTAAATAATTATATATCCAGAAAGAAAGATTATTTTATAATATTTATAATAGAAATTTGAAAATATTAAAAAGTAATAAAAATAGGTAATAGATTATTCGCTCGTATAATATAATTTGTACGTGTACGTAATTGTCTAACTTATTGCCGTGATAATTAATCGTTAAATGCATTGCGAAATACATTGTGATGATGATGATTAGGTATTATTATTTGTTTTGAATAGAGAGCTGCGAACAGAATATGTCAGCGATGTGCTGACTTATATATCGATATTGGCCAGATCAGGAAAGCGTTAATCTGTCTTACATCTACGTTTTAATGAGTATTCTCTAGTACGACATGATATACATACATGGTGGATAATTTCGTTATCGTGACTCGGATACCGGATTAAAGTTTAATTTCGTGTCGATTATTGATTGATAGTATCTTGATGGTGATCGTTAATTTAACGAGGTGAGATGCCGAGGATGAAACTTCTACGCCATAGCCATAGAAGTAGATAAAAAAATGGGGGGAAAAAAAACAGTACAGTTCCTTTTAATATGTCTTTCGCAGAGATATAATATAATAAGAAACTTATACATGTGGCCATGGGCGTATCCAGCATTTTTTTCGGGGGGCTCATCAATTCTTCAATAGCAATTTTTGCATTTTTAATCAATTGTTTTTTTTTAGATATTTTAGAACTTAGAATATCTCGTTGTTTTTGATTTTGAATGAAAAAATAATAGGAAAAATATTAGGTTTTGTAAATCATAACTTTAATTTTTTTTTATATTTCTGGGAGGATTTAATCTCTTCCTCTATACACTCATGTATGTTTCAGCATTCAGTAGAAATATTTTAAATAAGATAGATTAACGATAGATTACATCAACAATAAAGGCCGAAAATAATGACGTAAATGTAATGTCTTCGAAATGCAATATCCACGACTGTCATTCAATATCGCCGCGTAACTAAAGTTCTCTTTCGCCTTCGTGTTGTGCCTGGTAAAAACTTCTCTCGTGTTTCTTTCGTGACTGAAACACAGAAGTAACATTAACCTACTGCACCCAATATATATTCGGTGTGACTTTTACAGTGTGTATAACTTTAGTGATACATCCTCCGTCGTTGGTAGTTTTTCGCTAAATAAATAACATACATCATGTCATTAGAGAATACGTGTGTTATAATGGACAGTTAATAGATTTATGAACCGTAAACATATTAAATATTCCTATGTAAATATTCCTATTAATATCAATCATTCGACTTGAAATAAATCAAAAATTCTGACCTGATGCGGAATTTGTTATAAATGTAATTCACCTATCAACCGTACGCATGTTTGTTTGCATATAATCATAATAATTTTCGTTCGCCATCACTTTACTTCTTCATCGTCTCATAATTTGATAAGAATTAATTGCCAAAGTGTCCATTTCTCACGGAATCTCTTAGAGCACTCGACATATTTCCATCAAAATCCTCTGAAGTTTCATTTCTAAACAATCGTGACTATGTTTCGCGCGTGTTACCATGGATGATGCGTGATTCTGATCGGCGTTGTGACAACAATATCCAAGCATGCAACTTTCCCCGGTGTATTGATCGATATCGACATGACCCAAGCTTCGTTCAAGGAACGTATCCCGGAAAATAACAAAGGCTACCGGCATCGGGTTGCATTTATATCGAAATTATTCGCTTATTTACATTCTATGCATAAGTCGAATCGCGTGTTCACAATTAAATTCTCAATCTGAGAATTAAATTTAGGAGAGAAAATTCTATTAATTAAATTAAAATTTTTTTAATCTCAATTTTCTCGAGTAAATTTTGACGACTTGATATAACTCGACCGTCGAAGGTCCTCGCCTCAAGGTTTTCAAGGTTTTCAATTCAAAAGAATGTTGCGCGATGATATTTTTAATCTAGAATTTTGAGTATTTTAATATATATTGGGATTCGATAAAATCATGAGCGCCAAGCGTAAAAAGCATGATTATCTTGCTCACTGACATCTTTATCTTTATCGCATGTGTTGCAAGCAATTAGCGTCCTCGAAGATTCGATTAAATGCCGTGACAAACTGATAACCATATTGTGTTTTTGAAGCTGCTACGTGTTCGGAAGCGGTAGAGTTATCAAAGGACGATCAGAAGGAGAACGAGCAGGGTTTGAAAGAGCCAGTCGCCCCGGTGAGTGTCGAGATGGGTTGCTGCGGTTGTGCGGACGAGCCTTCGTCCAAAGTGGAACCCACGGTAAACATTTTCCCTACACGCATGTTAAAAAAAAAAGTTTTGCGAATATAGCATCGTTGAAACTAATAATAACGCACGTTACGCGTGATTCACCGCGTGAAGTTTAAAATGTCCAAGTTTCTAGTTCGTACGCGCAGCTCAAATTTTTCTGACTGAATTCTCATGATTCGTTACGGTAATCAATCTAATTTTTGTGATAAAAAATCGATTTGCGCTTTCATTTCTTCATAAATCTTTATTGTTATATTTTTAATTCGTTAACAAAATTCTTTGACTTTGCCAAATATTTATTTTAAGAATTTTAGTTTACTCTGTATCAGTTTAATTTTCTTTGTGTGATAAAAAATTTATAATTATAATTATAATTATCATATATATGTCTTATATGTCTAATAAATTTTTATATCTTCATAAGTGCTTATTGTTGATAAAAATCATAAACAAAAGTAGAAAATGTCGACACAAGTTTATTCTTTGACATATACTTGAACAAATTAAGTAAATGTATTATGTTACAAGTCTTGTGAATGTGTATCTAATATGTAACAATTTTGCAATGTTAACAATTTATGACAAAGCATCAAATCTTGGTTTTATTACTGAAGATGGTCTAATAGCGGGATCGAAACGTCTACAATTCTCACATTATATATTGACTTATTAAAAATATATTCACAAATATAATCACACATTAACAACTTGTGTCATCTCTCTACTTTTACGATTTATTTACAGAAGCTTATTCTATTTAATTTCTTATTGTTAAATTTTTTTATACGTAAGCAAAAAAATCTCTGGCGACTAAATATTTATTTTAAGAATTTTGATTTACATTGTATAATTGTGTCTTTTTTAGACACCTGAGAGTCGAGGCTCGCCATCGAATTATTCAGAGCAGATTTTTGTGAAGGACCGATCATGTACCGATATTCTGGCCTTGATCATTATACTCGCTCTCGTGGGTGGTTTCGTAAGTGATATTTACTTTCTCATCCGCGTCACAATGACGCCAATATATTTGCCGAATGTTAATTTACATATGCAGGCCTTTATGATGACGAACGTGGTGAAGAAGGGTGACATTTACCGCGTGATATATGGATACGACAATTGCGGAAACGTCTGCGGCCGCGTAACCTCGTATGAGCCGAATGACCCGAAATTCCAATGCAAGGGTGGCGACTACACCAAAAAACCGTGAGTGCGCTTTAAATCATTTGTACTAATTGGAAATAAATTGCGATTCGATAATACAATTCACATATTGAGGTCGAGGTTTGTGCAAAAAAAATCTGACAATTAATTTTCTTAAACAAATAACGTACGAATTAACGGACGCATTCGCAAATTAATTGATGATAATTAGAGATCTCTCTATTCGAATAAACAAATACAATCTAAAATTAGCAAAAATACTAAAATATCCAAAAGTAAAATACTAATATACGTACAATAAAATAAACATACAATCATTGATTTGATATCTTGTTTGCTGCGCTATTGTCAAAGGCTCGTAAAACTTGTCCATATTGATTGTGGATTTATATTGTAAATTTATATTCTGTGTCTATTCAGGTATCTCGAAATTAATATCCAACCGAACGGAGTGAAGGACCGACAGTGTGTGGCAAACTGCACGGTGGATGACTCCAAGTTAGTATCAAGACGTAAAATCATCAAGACTGATTACACAGTGTTTCTGATTTCACGTTAAACGGCTATCAGACTCACGATCGTAAGATTCATGCGTTGAATACAAACTCGATCGTATTTTTTTTTTTCGGTTTCTTTAATGTCAATTTTTCTGTTTCACAGGATGTTATTTCTGAATCGCTGTGTGCATAAGAAGGTGACCGAAACCATTAACTCTATAATAAGAACCCTTCGTTTGGACAGCGTTTACAACGTAAGTGACGATTTATAAAAACTTTTTCTAAAATTATCCTTATTACTTTACGAAAAATTACAAAATTTCGTTCTGATGAAATTAATATCTTATGTATATACACATACATATATATCCATATTAATAAAACATTAATAAAACATTTTATTTTATTTTCTTGAAACTTCATGCTATCTTAATTCTTTTTCTTGTAATAGAAAGCTATAAATTCCTTTTCTAATATCGATTTAAAGTAGAAGAAAAATATATTTGTTTTACCAAGAAAAGTAATCTGCTTTTCATAAAACTGAGCAACCATTGAACTTTATTTTAAAAATACTTCAGCTAGCCTATTTTAATTGAATTTTATACTGACCTCGTAACATACAATATTACATTTTAAATCGAGTTTCAAATCAAATTACCCCAAATTTCTTTCTTGAAATATATACTTGTTCTTATATATCATTGCATCACATTCATGTGTGAGATGTCCATTATATATACCACTTGAATAATATCCATTATATATACTACTTGAATAATAGAATAGAATCAAATTAATTTAGATTAATCAATCAATCAATAAACGGATGCAGTGAAATAATTGTATAATATAGCTCATGTGACACGGAATTATTTTTTAATTAGTTAAAGTAAGTAATTTGTGAATAATCAATATTATATTATTTCAGGAGGCTGTTACTGATCTAGGAATCGCATGGCGCGAATTGATTTATCTTTTACTGATAGCATTGGGTAAGTATTTCAGAAAAAATATGTATCGTATGTTACTTTAGATTTATGTTATTTTAGATTTATATTATTTATTCCAATTTATTACAATTTCCAATTTCTCTTTCTGTTTCTCTATGTGTATAAGAAATCTCGAGCATTTTATTAAATTTAAAAATATTCCAAACAATGTGCACAATGCAATAAAAATTTCGGATAATATTTCTTTTCACGTCAGCAGTATAATTTTTTCATGCTATCGGGAATATGATTTTCTCGTTATATATTAAATTTGGAAGTTTAAATTCTTATATCACATCTCCCGCTGTGCGCGACACAAAACAGGAACTTTGAGTGATTGATTGCGACTGACGATTTTTCAGCACTTTCCCTTGGTATTCTGGTGGCCTTCCGCTATATGGTACAATATGTCATTTATATCGTATTGATCGGCGCAGTTGTTGCTTGCATCGGTGGCACGACGTATCTCTGGTAAAGAAAATTATCCCAATTTTGGAAAATTAAGGCAACACACTAAAGATCACATTTTAAATTGATAGTTCGATCTCGAAGGTTTCACCGAATAAATAGAATTATCTATTTTTTATTTATCTAAATGTAGCAACGCAGATTTAATCCCTTTCTCCTACAGGATAGCATGGTATCAAGAAAAGCAGAGTCTGAGTAAAGGTGACATTTATGAGGAGGATTCCAGCGTGGAGCCCTATTTCGTATACTCTATTATTATGTCGATCGTTACTGTAAGAAAAATTGCCGTATCTGATATTATACGTACGCGCAAACTTTGTGAACATATACATATACGTACATACATGTCGCAGGTTATCGTACTCCTAGTGATTCTGGTGATGAGGAAGAGAATCGAGTTGGTCATGCAGCTTTTCCGAGAGGCGGGTAAAGCTGTGTACTCGATGCCGGCACTACTATTCCAGCCGATCTATGTGAGCATATCTCGTTTCAATTACACGAGCCCGGTTCACTTTACATCGGGTTGTATGTTGACCTCCCGCTAACGCAAGAGTCCTCTATTTTCAGACATACCTGCTTATTGGCGGCACAGTAGTGGCATGGGTTTATTGTATGTTATGGATTGAGAGTGCTGGTGACATTTACTTAAATAGAAAAAATCACATTCATTTCAAAAAAGACGCATTAATCATTGTACGTAAGCATATTTCTTTGCCAATTGATCATATGAAGATCATATTTTTACTGATTAAATAAATATTGATCAAGTGTCAATCGTTGAGCGAGATTTTATATCGAATAAAAATTTATATGAATTTTATATAATTTACCTTAACGAACTGATGAATGTTGGATATATGTAAAATTTATTTAAAAAAATCATTAACCATATGTTTAAAATATCAAAATATCAATATTTATTTATTCTATTATATACATATTAGTCGCTACGTTATATTTTTTTGTTTATTTTTATAACAAATGGAATTGATTTAGGCGACTAGATGGTATAATTTGTTTTTATTCTTCGTGGCATGTGAATTCTATTTGGGCTGCCAACATATGGTCGTTGCGTGTGCCGTTGCTCGATGGTTTTTCACGAGGTGAGTATCTTAGCAAATATAAAAATAAAATGGCGGAGCAGATCAACTTGCAGCTGTATTTAGAAAAAGGATATGAATATTTTTTAAAATCGTATATGAATATTTTTTAATTTACGTTAATTTTTATTGTATTTAATATATTAACTGCTAATCTTTGTGTCTAGGAATTTTTCATGAAATATTAAGTTTTTTTATTTGATCTACTACTTGATATTGTATAACATTGCAACAAATTTTACATGAAAATAAAACAATTCTTTTCAACAGGGATAAAAAACGTCTTTCCTTACCAGTAGCAAAAGGTTTCGGATATCTTCTAAAATATCATATGGGTACTGTTGCCTTCGGAGCGTTGATAATAGGCATTGTTCGACTAGTTAGAGCCATGATATCTTTCGTTCAAAAGCATTTAAAACGTTACGACAATAGTTTCGTGAAAGGAATACTATGGTGTTGTCAATGTTGTCTCTGGTGTTTCGAATGTGCTTTAAAATTTCTCAGTAGAAATGCTTATATTGAAACAGGTAACTATGATATATTTTATTCAAATAGCGATTCTTCATCAATATTTTTTAAAAACTTTTTCCAATTTTTTGAATACGCGACATATAACAATTACAAAATAAAAATGAAAAAAACTTATTTATCGATGTCCTAAAGAAACAACATGTTCTGTTTTTTTCAGCCATATACGGATGCAATTTTTGCACAGGCGGGAAAAAGGCATTCCAAGCTTTGTCCAGCAACATTTTACGAGTAGCGGCGATTAACAGCGTCGGTGATTTCGTCCTATTTCTCGGTAAAGTCCTCGTCGTCACTCTTACGGTTGTTTCGGGAATCTATTTGATGCAGGTACAGGTAAATTAATCACTCTGTATTCTTGTATTTTGAGGGCTTTACTAAGCACTTTAGTTTTGCCTCTTTGCAGAAAAAAGATGGTCTTAATCATCCTTGGATACCAATTACCCTCGCGGGGATATTTGCATTCCTAGTCGCGCATTGTTTCATATCCATTTACGAGGTGAGTGACACATGAAGAAGAGATACACATAAGAAATCTGATAGATGACATGTTATTAAACAAATAATGTATTCTCTATGGAAATGATTCTATTTTTTGCAGATGATTATTGACACGATATTCATATGCTTCTGCGAGGACTGCGAAAAGAATGATGGCATCAGTCGACCTTATTTCATGAGCCGCGGCTTAATGGTTCGTATTAGCTATAACGTACTCATTAGTAAGTTTTTTAATAGAGCCATTTGTGAAAAATAATCTTGTCTTGTTCAGGAATTCGTGGAGAATAGTAAGAAAGCTTTAAGACAACTGGAAGAACAAGGTGCTGCGGCTACATAACAAGTATTAAAAATAGCTCTTCCTATTTTGAAATCGTGAATTCTTTCAGAAATTCGACCGATATAACAAGCAGCGTAAAAATTTTACGCTAAAATTTTTTTCATAAAATATTGGATATTCTTATTATATATGGATCTTCGGAAGATAATCATAAAATTGCGGAAATTCCATTCAGAATTTCCGCAATTTTCAATATACGTACAATCCGTCTTCTCTTAGCACGATAATCGAAGATGTTCCATACCAATGAAGTGTGACGATGCACAATCGGTCGTTTCGATCTATCCAACAGACTGACTACGATTGCGAAGAATGTTAGGAATCATTCTATTTTCGAAGTTCCTATTTCTAAAAATATTTTTTATATGACAAGATAGCTTTTCTATATAAATTTAGTCGAGATAAATGCAACATTCGTACAATAGCTCTTGCGAATACGTTGATTTGGCAGCCTGGACTTACGTGTATCGTCTTGGTCGACAAGTAAGTGATGATTAGCGAACAAATTAATTTGTAAGATGATTATTCTACATTCTTAGAGCATAAGTTTACATATAATAATTATATCGTTATGAACACATTTGTTTTCTATCGCTGTAAATATCTTTTTTATGAACATGTATCCATAATAGATAATTTTTCATTTTGATACAAATGCCTTGTAAGATATAATTAGCTCTATTAACAGTTAGATACAGTTGTGCTCTTTCAAAAGAAT